AATTCTTTTTATAGACACTTTAGAATTACTTTTTCTTTTATAGTTTCTTAAGGTGGAAGATGACATCATAAACTTCAGATCTTTTTATTTTTAAAATAGATATTTACTGCTATAACTCTATTATTATTTCAGTGACACTTCAAGCTTTTAAATGTTATGTTCTCATTTTCATTCAAAATATTAGTACTATCACTATGACTCATTCTCTGACACATGATTATTTATGTGTGTATTGTAATTTTCCAATATTTACACTATCAGTCTGTGTTGAACATACAGGTACTATTGATTATCTAGAGTGATTACTGAGCAATGAGACTTCTAATACTTTCTGATTAAGATTGTAATCATTGTTTTACATGTATGTGCTGGTCAGTACACAATTGTATACTTGCACAGATATTCTCTCAGTCTCCTGAGTTCTCCGTCCATGTGCTTCTCTTCTTGTAGTACATAGCTCACTGAACTCTGGCTGTTTTGATCTCCCCGGCCATTCACCTTTATCTTATCAACTGATGGAATCCACCAGTCTCTGGGTTCCTGTCTCATGCTGAAGCCTAGAAACGTTGTGAGCCAGTAAACTAAAGCAACTGTGGGGTTCTTGCTTGTTTCTCATCGCTAAGTGACCACTAGCTTTCATGATCTGCTATCTGGTATCTTGCAGTTGTTCCCTCAAATAGTTTTGTCCACTTTAATATTTATTTATTTTTATTATTATTATTTTTTTGTATCAGGAATTGAACTCAGGATCTTGCACTCTCCAGGCAGGTGTGGTGCTACTGAGCTACATCTCTGGGCCTTACTTTTCAAAAGAATTCAGAAGAGTGTGAAGGATAAAGGTAAATCTAGTATCTGTTACTTCAAGTCTAAACAATATTTTTTTTGTTTTATTTAAACTTATTCATGAGTACAGGAAAATATTTTCCACTTTAGGGTATTAGATGTTAATAATTGAAGGAAATGTGCAGCAATATAAAAAGTTCTTTTGTAAATCTAATTTAGAGCTACATTTAATTGACGGATCAATAGTAATATATGCTTGTATGTTCATGTGTGTGTGTGTGCTTTGATTATCCATGTAAGGTCAGATTATTAAGGACATAGATGTTAAGTGATACTTAGGAATGTCTTGATGCATTCAAAGTTGCCCAGCTTAAAACTATCACTATAAGATATTCTATTTATGACACACATTACAGGTGTTCGTCAGAGAACTCAGCACTACATTTATCATTTCAATGTTTCCCCAAAACATATAATGAAATGCTATATCTTCTCTATTCTATTGATGAAACATTTAGGCTTTAGAGATACTACCTTACCAAACTTACTCAGATATTAAGTTCTAGAGCTAGGTCTTGAGCCCAGGCTGCCTGACTCCCAACTGATACTTGTAACAGTCCACCCTACATTGCTTGAGGTAGGCTTCTGAGTCCTTTGCTGCCTTAAAACTCCTTTTCCTTAAATGACCTCAACTGATTCAAAGTGGCAGTTCATCTTCATAGACAAAATGATATGTATTCTTGGGAACCCTCCTCCATATATTATAGGTTATGAAATACAAAGACTTTCAGTGGCAATGCATGAATGATACGTTGAGTGATGTTTAGGTCAACAACAGATTGCTACTATGGTAATTCATAATTTATTTTGTCAAGAATTATTTTACATGACTATCAATTTCTCAGATATTTCTATAAAATATCCACTTCTACCCAACTTTGCACATATACCACTTCGTATTCCTTTTCCCTTTATTTTTCTCTTTAGCATATAATTAACATATCAATATATGTTAATACTCTTGTAAATTATCTCTTTTATTAAAGTATGTTTCATAAAACAAAATTTTGTCCTTTTTGTCCATTAGTATGTCTACAACATTTATTGAACTCAAGAATATTTACAAATAAATTAACATTTATGCTCAGTCAGTATTCTTAGGGTTTATGCTATTTCAGTGACTGTTGTGTAGAGGAATAGGGAAGGATATCTGAAATGAAGTTTTCAGAAGCATTAGGTTCTACTTAAAGATAGTCTCGTTGTTATTGGATATTATCTATCTATCTGCCATTAGAGGCTACAACCATCTCAGAATTGTAGGGGAAGACTACATTTTCATGATAGTTTCTCCCGCTCTCCTGATGATACTACTGACTCCTAGACCAATTAATTTATGGAGGGGAGACCCTTAATGAGATAGTAGCAAAGTATTTAAGAGTAGCTCCTCTGGTTTTAGAATTGTGGGGTCAATGTCCAGCCATTCCACTCCTAATTATTATGAATATCAGAACTCACTGTTAGAATATGCCAAAGATTTCTATTCTGAGATTCCAAGGTATTCAACCTTTTGTCACTATAATAAAACCTATTATGTTTAAGAAGGATAGAAGTATCTTTTGGGGGAAAATCTATAGCTGTGTCTTCAAATTTTCTAATGTCTTTAAGTACCAACACTTCCTTGAGTATCAAAGATAAAGTGATACTGTTATAAATAAATCTTCACAAAATGGTCATTTGTTTTGGCTTGGAATTCATTGAGGCTAGCCAAAATCCCAGTCTTTGGCAAGCTTTACATATTTCTATCCTTTTCATTTACATTAGTACTTACAAAGAACACATCAAAAAAACCCATAATAACTTCACTGACATCATAAAGACATTTTCTCAGTTCGGGGTAACTGATTTGCCCATATTCACATGAAAGAGACAAAAGAACGTCATACAAATTTGATAAAATAACACATGTTCTTGTCAATAACACATATGTTTATTTTAAAGCATTATGCCTTACTCTTTGTAGTTCAGTACGTGGAAGGGCTAAAATCCATACTGCATGCTCGCCATATGTCTGTCATGAAGTGATTGAGCTAGATACTAGTTTTAAAAGTTCTGATTATAAATCTACAACATTCTTATTTTATTACAGTAAGTTCTTATCTCAGTAAATTATGAAATTATTTTAAAGAGAGATGAGGAAGTCTCAACCATTGCTTTATGTCTAGTGTATCATTTATTGAAAATATATGAAAATTAAGGTGATGGTATGTTTTAATGCATTTGAAAAATAGTCACTCATGTGTGTTTTATTTCTAAATAATTCCAAACATTAATTTATAATAAAAACTTCTGTGTCATTTTGTAGAGATCTGACTACTAACTATATTCCTTCTCTTTCCCTGATATCTCCATGACTTACCATTCACTAAATCTTCCTTTTTCATAAATTTATACCTCTCTTGCACTTCCTGATCAAGTAGTCTCTTCTAACTTATCATATTAGTCCATTAAATTATTTTGTAACACACTTTTCAATCAGTTAGATGAATAATATCTCTCCAATCTGGAAGCTATATTTTAAAAATAAGTACAGTCCATTGGCAGAGAATCAAGCTTAACAGATAGTAAAAAAAGAGGTAAAGAAAATTTTAGGAAAGAAAAAGAAATAACGATGTTTCTAGTTTGATTTTATTTTCTATTTTATGTCCAGCATAATATCAAAAGAATATTGGTTAATGAATGAATAATTATTCTCAATATAATGTCTATGGGTAAAATTGAAATTTTAAACTTTTTTGTATACTGATTTCTTTATTATTCATTCCTGCTCTCTCTCTTTTTCCTATCATTTCTTATTTCTTCCACTTCAAGAACTACGTTGAGTAAGAGGTTTGGTTCCCCAAATGCCCTCAAAGGTTCTGCAAAGACATATAATTCTATCTGCATATGTGCATGCACATGTGTGTGTGTGTGTGTGTGTGTGTGTGTGTGTGTTTTAAAGCTATATCAGCTTATAGGTATCTAAGCAAATATGGAAATAATAAAATTCTATTAAAATTCTACTAATGGTTTTCTCAAACCTATGTTTATAAGAAAGGGTTAATAAAGAATAATATGACAAGGGCAGAGGATTTAGCTCAGTGGTTCCTCTGCCTGCCTCACATGTGCAAGGACCTGAGTTCAATCCCTGGTAACAACAACAACAACAACAAAAATAATAATATGACTAACTCTAGGGCTTGTAAAATCTTCAGATTATACAAGATCCATTAAATTCTACATTACAAAAATTGATATATTTATTCTCAAATTTTAATTACATATCACATATATTTACATTATGTTAACAAACTTCTAAATAAAGATTTAAAAGACATAATTCTTGAACTTCATAAATAAATATATTTAAAATCTAATAATTTCATTACACAAATAATTTGGGCAAAACAATGAAGCATTTCTAATATTTCACATTTAAATTCTAGGAAGTTATGAACAATACCTAATTCATTTAAAATATAATAATATATCTGATTTGAAGAAAAAATAGTATACAGGCTCTTATCTATTTCTTATCTTGAAGGCAAATTTGTTTGGCTATATTATAAATTTTGAATATAACAAAATATTAAAAATATTTATATAATTCCTAATGTCATATTTATTAAAAATCCTGTTTCCATTTATTTGGAAGTTAAATCAAGTTATATTACCCAAACTCATTCATCAAACAATAATATCATGGTTGTGAAAAGTCATGGTGCTTATAGAATCAACCAGAAATCTTTGATCTCAGATCATTCTTAAAGTTATTTGAGAATAAATTCAAGCCTCACTTGTAATTCAGATCACATAAGCAATTCTAACTTTCACTTCAAAAACATTAAGTAATTTTATAGAAAAATATTTCTTTTTTAAGTAAAAATCATTATTTCAGCAATTAAAAACTCTCGTGTCTTTTTAGTACTAATAAAAACTTTGAAAACTTAAAATGTATAATTTCACATATTAGTAATAGTAAATTATAATTTACTGTTTAATAGCAAGAACTGCATGCAATAAGACTCTTACAAAGCTTCTAAATAAACATTAAAGTGACCGAACTGATCAGTAAATTGCATCACTTAGCAAAAAAATTTTGACAGTAAATTACTGGGTCCAGTCTGTGCATGCTACAGCATACTATGTTCAGAATTAAAAAATAAATAAAATTCAATTACCCTAAAAGATATTTCAAGATTCTCTCCACCCCAGATATCCATTCCTGCATCGTATGTTCCTATCTCTTCAAAGTAGTTTCTGTCAATAGAAAATAGGCCACCAGCCATAGTAGGGGTCCTAGTTGAAAAACAAAAGCAAAAACAAAAACAAAAAGAATATCTTTTGAAAACAATGTGGTGTTCAATGAAACTGTATCAATATTTTTGACATTTTAACTATAAAAAATACTACTCAAAAAGTTTTAATTAGAAACACAAAGCCAAGGTGCAAGGTTTTAAAATTTAAGAGTTTCACTTTTTTCATATTTTATTTAAAACCCAATTTAGATTAGTCTATGTTTTGTTTATTGGAAAGCAATAGACACAATGGCCACTTAATACTGGGAATTCTACATTCCTTCTGAAAGTCTAATGAAAAGGCTGCCTTTTATACTGTCCTTAAACAGGTTAACTGGTCATGAAACTAGCACTTGTGATCTTTGGTCACAAAATTACAAATCATTTTAACGTAAAGTCTAGGAAACTCAGTAAATGTTTTCTGTATGAAAAGATCCATAGACTATTTAAATATTAAAAGCCTTAAATGGCAAACAATTTTTACAGAAAAAATATAATGATACTTATAAAGATACATTTAAACATAAAATATTTACATCTCATTGCTTATTCTTCTCTTAATCTAATTAAAACAGCAAGATTAATCAGCTGACTTTCTAGATAAATTGAAATCCCACATAATATTGATACGTTTAGGACTATCAGCATGGCTTCTAAAACATTTTTTCTAGGAATAAAAGCCATTTTGGTTCTTATTTTCAGATTTCTTTATAGGAACTAAGAACTAAGATGGTAAGTTTTAAAATGATTAAAATAAAAATATTGATTAAAGGCAATTTTTAATGTATGAGCTACATAAACCTTTATAATGGTGTGAAATAAAGATAAAAAGAAAATTCTGTTGTTCACAGAATCATACTGGTAAAGATGACTTTTTGAATAAAATAATTGTTACATAAAATCAATCAGTTGTAATACAGTGATTTCCAACATTTATAACATATTACCATTTGGGGGATCCAAAAAAAAGCTTCATATTTGGTTACTATGTCCCACAGATTTAGATTTAATTGGACTGGAGTGGGGAATGACTGATATTGCATAGAGTCCTCAGGTGATTCTTACATACCACCAAAGAGGAGAAATACTGATGTATTAGCTTAGTTTGGAATGCTCATTTGAGTAGTCTGTGAGATTATTAAAAAACCAAATATGTCACTTTCCTTGAAATTATATCCTCCTCTGCCAATGGTTATTTTCATGCTTTCAAATTAAACAGTACAGTTCTCTGAAAAAAGCACCAAATAATATTGCACTTGGACTTCAAACATATTGTAGAATTCTCTATTTCTCCCAGTGCTCTCACTGTTTCATACTCAGGTAATTAACTGTCTATCAGCTGGAGTAGCAGAGCTTTACTAAGTCTCAGAGCTGTTTTATTACTTCTAGTCTTGCTGAGTTCCTATCATGAACGGTATCATTGACCTTCTGAGGTATAATGAGAAACATTAACAAAGCTAAACAGATGGTAATTATGGAGTAGTCATGACCTCACCTGATTAGGGTTTTAGAACTATATGGCAATAACTACATAAGGTATTATAGGGCTGGAGAGTCTATTTAATAAAATTATGAACAAAAAATGCTACAATTATCTTATTATAGTGCAGCCAAATGCCTAAGAGTGTTAAGTGATGCATTTTAATGATGAGTTCAGAGAGCATGTCTCCTCATATGCTTACTGATAAAGTACTAACACATTTTAATTTAAATACATGTAATATTTTTCATGTTATTGTTGGTAATTCCTATAAATACTGCATGTTAAAAATGAACAATAAGTGGTAAAAAATTTAACAACAAGAATAACTAAAATAACTTGCTGTTATTTGAAAAGTAACAAAAACAAACAAACAAAAAAACAATTCCTAAAAAAAATCCTGTATTTTCTTTTTTATTGGTACCGGGGATCAAACTCAGGTCCTTGTGCTTGCCCAACAGGCGGCAAAACCACTGAGCTAAATCCCCAACAAGTTTTGTTTTTTTTTTTTAAATCCTGTATTTTCTGAACAATGATGCTTTTAAAGAGGATTTTTTGCCTGCAATGTCAGTTAGCTGTCTCAAATAGTCAAAGGCCGTGCTTTATAATATTTAATACCTATAACCATGGCTATTGGCATGCAACACATTCTGCTCTAAGTTCATTGTATAGTATCCCTAATGAACTACTTGCATATGCCTCTATACAGCTTAAGTGTTCAGACAGTCTAGAAAATAGAAAATTTTGATTATAGTTGAATTAGTTGAGATTGTTTGGTTTTTAGGGTTGTGTCTATATGGTTATCAAAACCATCAATCAATGCAATTTTGAAAAATAGAATATAATCATAGCTCTGACTGTTAACACTTCCTACTACACAGGAAATAGGTGAAGATAGATGGATTCAATAAAGTAAAGCATTGAGCTCAGCGTCCAGCACATAATACACCATTAATGAGGTTAGGCAATTTATCTTTCTTACTGTTTTGACATTAATGGTTCAAACTAAAGTCTTGAGGTTCTTAATTTTGGATCTCCATATACATATCCTCATTTGGGGCTTCAAAATGGTTCAGAGCTACTTCAAATGTGCTTCAATGAACACGACTTCCGATTCTTTAATCCCTCCCGTTGCTCTCAGAAGTCATTTGCCATCCTCCATTGGTGGTTGTGGTTCCTTAGTTGATTTATACTCTCAAATTAATAACCCTTTCAGGAAATTTTCTTCCTTCTTCTTGTCCCCTTTCCAAGGAACTGCCATGTTAGTGGAAAACTAGTTTAGTTCCCTTGGTTCTCTGTCTTTGCTTTGTCTGATCCAGTTCACTTTTTGTAATTTTGTGTGACTGGATTAATTGATCCTTTACATCATCAACTTCTGCTACTAAGACCCAGACAATCTCCGGCAAGGAATAAGGTGAAGCCAACTGGTTATACTGCGATGTGTGTTATTAATTCTCTGCTTAATTCACAAACTGCTAACCATACTTCTAGCTATGTTTACTTGTTCATCTGTCCTGTTTTTCAAAGAATCTTGCAAAAGTTTTGGATTCTTCTAAAAAAAAAAAACAACCTGAGGATTCAGGCAATGCATAAAATCTAAACTCCCTTAAGCTCTATCTCAATACACTGTGTATCTTTCTCATGTCCTCTTCTTTCCCTTTATTTTGCAGAAAGAATAGCTCCTTTCTTCTCTGTGGGCTAACATTCACAGACTTGTTCCCTCAACCAGTTCTCCCCTGACTACTCTTTCGGCCACTTGCTCATTTACTGCATTTATGTTTTATGCCTTTGATTCTCTAAATTGCTCCCTCCAGCTTGCAAACCTGTTCAATTCAGTTCTATTCTAAACCAAAATACATCTTCATTCCATTTTACTCCTCACTGAAACTAGGGATATACATTGTCTATGCCCTTCACTGGTAACTTTATTGAAAGTATACTTTCTATGTACTTCCTCAATTCCGTTTGACTGTCTAACTAGAAACTGGATCCTGCTCCTACCTCTGCAATAACATTTTCCTGAAAAATTCTCATTGATTCTGAACTCCACTAGCCTTTCCTTAACTTTTCCTCTGAAAGCATTTAACACAACTCATCAGCCATCTGCTTGAAATTCTTTTCACTCTCCCATTGCATTGTTTGTTCTATAGAGGTTTTTCCTTCAACTCATTCGACAGTACATTTTTATTCTTATCAAAGCTATTTCTTCTTTGACCTTGCAAGCTATTAGACCGTAGAAAATTCTTATTTTTACATCCACAATGTGAGTTCATTGTACACAATAATAATTTTTATGTATATATTCGCCCAATAATTATCTTCTCTTGTCTAAAATGTGGTCTTTCCAAGGGTCTTTCTTGGCACTTCTCTGTTGATAGTCCTTTGTCTTGTAAGATCATTAGTCCTCTGTCATTAACAGTTACCTCTACTAGGCTGACACGTAATTGGTGTTTTCTCACCTCTTACCTATTATTTGGGCTTTGCTAATTATTGACTATATTTTTCCCTTGGCATGTGCCACTCCTCTATTTATAATGCCCAAATAACACGATTTCTAGACTGTTAGTGTTTAGGTCTACTTAAATAACATGTCTCAGATACTATAAATTATAATGGATAAATCATAAGAATAAATATTTTATTATTTACACAAATATGAGACCAGAAGAGCTAAAATGTCCATGTACTTCTGCTACTTTTAAAATAACAAAATACAATGGCTTCATTTGGTTAAGTATTTAAAAGATTTAGAAACCAAAGAGAAACTAAATGCTGTGAACTTTTCTTTCTTCCTTTTCTTGACTACTCTATAGAGTATAAAAAGCAGAAAAGAAAGAAAGAAGGCAAAGACAGAGATATTCTTTAATCATCAGAGTTATGAATGTCTAATCTTGAATACAATTAGTGATTTTATAGTTAAAAATGAAGTGTTTTATAATATTACCTGTTAAGACAATCACTTAAACATATGTTTTGTATGAAAATACAGCTTTCTATACAGAAGAAATTGTTATTTTAAGTGTTCATACTGCTTTACAGTTTCAGTAAAGAAATTTACTCTAATCCTTAGAGTCTCTGAATATGAATAATCTCAGTGCTTTTTTAAAGGATAAGAAAATATATAAATCTCTCCTTCGTGCTGGCAAGAGACTTGTTTTGTTTCCTAAGAACCCATTTATCATAAATTTGGAAATAAAATACCTTAACTTGTGCTTAAAGACCTTATTTCTAATAAAGGAGTGATTATTTTTCCTGTCTCTGAGTTGTTTTGAAATTCCTCATAACCTGATGAAACCCTAAGCTTCCAGAGTGATGTACAGTAGTTGATGCAAATTATAATCTTTCCTTGTATCCTCATCTTACACTTACATGAGGTCAAAATAAACAGTAGGGCCAGCTGAGATCAGATAGATTAAAATGATTTGACCAATATATGATAATATATTGTGACACTAAATATGATACTGAAAATAATCATATAAATATGATACTAGATCCTTCACCCTGAAAACTTTTTATGA